TGCTGGAAGCTCGCCCTCAAGAACTGCCGTACCAGAGAGCGCACTTTGAAAACCAACTGGAAGGTAAAAGGGAATTTCTTTAATGGGATCCAGATGCTGTAGAAAAATGGGAACCTGTTTCAAGCGAGTGGTAGTGAAAAGTTGGTCTTTTGTATTGCAGCTTCTTTTTGCCAGTTAAAAGGGGAAAGCTGCTGAAGGATTTATGAGACTCTGCCCTAGCTGTAATACCTTTTCTTCCCAATGAGTGATTACTTCTACAAGCGTGTCTTTCTGTTTGCTATGCTACTCCAGTGCAAGAGAGATGTTTATACTTCAGCCATCCCTTGGTAATGAGAATCAGCCTTTAAGATGAAGGCTCCTTCCCCTGCTCATTACATATCCTGGGTAAAAGAAAGCTATCTGTTGTTGTGATATTTGTTTCTCTTCCTAAAGATTGTGAATGATAACGAAGAGTGATAGTTTTCTTCTTCATTTCTGCCTGTAAAAATTCCAAGAGGCCAGCATAAAGTAGATGGGTCTTCTCTCAGCTGCACTGTCAGTAGCAATAGTAAAGCTTGGAGTTTTCCAAGAAGCAGCAAATGAACTTGGTCAATACAATTACTGCAATCCCAAACCCATGTCTCGTCTTTCTGTGCAGAACCGCATTGGTGCTGTGAGCCAGCTGCAATATGAGGTGGGAAAAATTCTTTGTGATGTACATTCTTGTGACGGAGTTGTTATTGCTGGGTAAGTATGAGGTTGCATAACGCTCATTTAATCTTTACTGTTTGAGATCTTATGTACTACTTTTTAACACATTCAAAAGAAGCATCCATTTGAGGCAACAAGAACGAGTTTTTCTGGCTGCAGTTCCTTTGTGGGTGAGGTGGATTGTTCTTAAAGTGACAGATAATGATGGTTATCTACGAGTGCAAATTATTGTTGTTCTATTCAAAAAGCTATCTCATGTACTTATAAAAACTATAGTACTTTCTGATGAACTGTATGTCTTGTTTTGCTGTGGAGGCACTCAGAATGTATTAAATATCATACACGTCTACTGAAAAATGCTCTTCTTATTACTTTTTCCACAAAAATCTCTTAATCACAAGGCTATTTTTGTGTGCTGTGGCAAAGTAACTTTAGAAAGACTGTTACTTTTCTCCACTGTTATTTAAAAGACAATTGGGGAAAAAAAAAAAAACCACCCAAAAACCGGAGAAACTCAAAGTTCTCTTTTCCTAACATAAAGCTTTGTCAGGACCTTGATTTAATATTAGCTATTCATTTGGTTTACACCTCTAAATACAATTTTAAGAACCTCCCAAACTCTTGGAAGAGGTGACCGTGACTGTCTCAGCAGGTGTAAGGCTTTGCTGTATTCTGCTTGAATTTTACATGTTCTGTAATTAGTAGCCCTCCAGAAGAAGTCACATGAGTAAATAAAAATTGTATTGTCCTGGGGGCAGTCAGAGGATGTTGTCCTTAACATACCAGAGTTCCGTATTGTACAGTAGCACTTCATGGTAATGGTGAATGCTTATGCATTGTGGGATTAGAGAAAACTACTCATAAAATAGTATGAAAGTCACACACTGGTTATAAGAAAGGTGCCTTGAGATACATTGCGTGTAGATAACTTAGATACATTGAAATGCTTTTGAATGCTGTTGGGCAGCTGAGAGCAGAAATCTAAACTAGCGGACAGCAGGAGGGAAAGGGGAATTGTAATCTTTGATGGTGAGTTAGCTGGTGGTTTTGTGATTTGTGGGGTTTTTTACTTCTGCATTTGGAGGTCTCCCTTTCTATTCCTTTCCATCCTTTTCAGTGACTATTGCTTCTCTTTCTCTGCTTTTAATGCCAATGTCTTTGCTGCTGTAACCAGTTGCATTATAGCAATGAAAATGCTTCTGCTGAAGAGCTGTGTAGTCTGTGACCTCTAGAGGGGCAGTGCCACACAGTGGTTAACCGAAACAGTGGCCATAGGAAGAGGCTTGAAGAATTTGTGAGGCTGGAGTACCGCAGGTCGTATGTTGACTCCTGCCTGATGTTGAGACTTCCTTGGACCGCTGATAAAGACACGGCAGCTCCCAGCCTGCTGTGGTCCGCAGCTGGGATCCAGCTCTGCCGCGAGCAACCTGACTCCTTTTGTGCCCTTCAGCTTGGGCAGCATGTTTCCTGGCCTTGGCTAGGGATCTACACTACTGTATCTGTTCCACTGTATCTAATGAAACCTCCTGTACTTTTTTGGGAGCCAGAAACCCCAGTTGTCTCCACGCTGCTGCCAAAACCTCCAGCTCTTCTTTTTCTTCATTTCTCCATGGGTTTATAGTCAAACATGCAGTATATAGAAGGTAGGCAGAATAAATGTAATTTCTAAAGAATTAATGAACAAAGGAGATTAATCCTGTATATTAAACTCAAATAGTCCATATTTTAGTTCGGAAACCACATTTATGCAGTCTCACACAGCCTTTTCGTACTGGTTCCCCAGTTCCTCCAGTGTCTTCTTGATTCTTTTAGGGAGTTTGCCTCAGTTGGCATGGTGAAAGGAGGTGGTGCCCTTAAAGAATTTAGGTTCCTGTAAGGTTCATGAAAATAGGTGAGCAGGTAAGAGACCACTGAGGGAAAAGCCACACATGCATATCCGTTAGGAAAAGCTGTATTACAGGTTTCACTCAAATTACTTTTCAGTAATTTCCCTTCTCTGAGAAAATGAATTTTAGTAATGAAGCATCTTTTTTATGAAGCTGTGAGCATACATTCAATAAGACAACATGGGGAAATCAGACTTTACCTGGTTCAGAAATGAAATGCTTAGACTATTAGAACACAAAAATTTTATTACTTCCTTTGCTGTTTACTGCTTGCCCTTCACTCTGCTTGAGATCTCTGAAAGCATCTCTCAAATTGCTGCAAGCAGAAAACTGTTCTGTAAATCTTGCCCAAAAGAAGATGAATTTGTTGTTCTGCCAGCAATGATCGAAGTCTGCAAGACAGCAGCACACTGCTCCTCCCCTCAATAATATCTCATAGTAAGTAGTAAATATCAAACAAGATTAACTTAAAGTTATAACTGGATCTTCTAAGGACCTGAGCAGATTTTGCAGGGAAATACCTTGCTCGTTATGTGTATTTGATGAGCATTTAGGCTAGGGAGATGAGGAATTTGTTGTTTGGTTCGTTTTATTTTTAAAATCCAAACATAACCCTCCCCTCTCTCTCCCGGCTTTGTACTTAATGGCATTCTGCTTTCAAATTTGTCATAAAAGTGTAATGAATCTGGTGATCAATAGCTAGTTGTTGCATTCTTTCAGTACTGAAGAAGTAATTTAATAGCTGAGGTTAACAGAAGTCAATTTTCTTCTCAGTATAAATATCAATTATCTGTTATGTTTAATGATTATATCTCCAGTTTCGCAAACACTTATGTGCTTAGCTTTACATGTGAATAATCCTAGATTCCAGCGATACTCGCCATGTGCAGATGTTTAACTTCGCAAGACTTGAGAAGTTGGTGATGATCTTAAAGCTAATTTTGCGTGTGGCATTTCCCGGGCTTTTCTAAACAGTTTCTCGTGGCATCATTTGCCTTTCTTCTATAGTCAGGTTGCTGCACTGGAGAAAAATAGGGCCACTCAGTTGTTAGCAGGTTTTTTGATGTCTGACTTTAGGGAGCAGCTGTGGCGCTCTGGCTCCGCTCGGTCAGGCCAGCCAGGCATTATTCTCTGTCTTTTATAGCTGGAAACTGTGGCACTGTACAGCAGCTGCTCCCTGGTTTCGGGAGGTTCAACTCGGGATCTTGGGAGATCAGAGAATGGTTGAAAAACATAAAAAAGGAGTGGGGAGAGAGGTTCTCCAGCAGAAATGCTGGGGGTGTTGTGTATTTGGGGTCTTGGAGCAAGCCTGGGAAAAATCATACTGGATTTGAACCTGTGCTGTGACAGACCATTGTTAGTGAGATCCGCGGTAGATCTAGCCTGTTCCATTATACTCCTTCAAGCTCCACTGGAAAGCGGAATAATGTCTATTTTAGTTGCTATAGATCTTTTTAGATTTTTTTTTTTTTTTTTTTTTAAATCTTACTGAAAAGGAATTTGTACAGGTTGTGGGCAGAGTGACTTACCCAGCAGCTACAAGTATAATACATAGAGGCACGGTTTGCCTGAACTGGTTCAGGAGCAGATCTCTTGATTAACTTTGTGTAAGGAAGCAAAGATAAACTACACAGGGTTGGCTCTCCTTTAGAGAAATGTACCTATTTTCTTGCATTCGCCTCGTATTTTCTCCACGCTGCTGCCAAAGCTCAAGCCAGAAGATGGCAGAATATCAAGGATTGATTAAGTGCAACCTGAGCTGCGAGTTGAAGGTGGCCGCTAGCAGCTCCTCTTTCTCAGAGTGCCTTGCATTTACTGGCTGACATCAGATAATTCAATCTGGCCTGCATGCAGAGCATCTTGTGTTTATCATTAAAATTTCATCCCAGCGGTTACGATGCTTGTTTTCTGGGTCAGACCTTGAATCCCTTTTCATTTGAGACAGCGGTGTTTGTGGTTACCTCACTCCCAATCAATGTTGTATTTGCCAGCCTTTCTACAGTTACATGTCTCAAAGGATCTTCTTTAAGGGGATGTTGTCCTCCCCCTTCCATATTAAATTCAAATGTAGTTTCTTCTTTTAAGTCAGAGTTGACTTAAAGCAATTATATGTCTGCTCGCTTGGCTTTTATAAATCACTACTGATGTTTAGGTTCACTGTACCTAATGCTGTCATATGTTTGGGTTTAGTACAGAATGCCTGGATTTCTTCACCTTCTGTTAATAAAATCTTAAACAAATCTCTCTGTCGTGTTTTTGTTTTATTTTATTTTTTTTGTTTTTAGCAAGCGCATGTTCAGGCAGTAAAATTGCTACTTTTTTTTTCTTCTTGGCAGCATCAACAGCCACACTGATGGGCATTTGTAGTCAGAGGTTAGGTCCTCCCGGAGATACTGATCTCAGAGCTTGCATCTGGTCCTTGTTTGAACTGCGTTGTCATGACGCAGCGAATCCTGTGGCGTAGCACGTCCGTAACATGTTGCGAGGCTGTTTTGCTGTCTGACTGGCTCTGTGTGAAGTACTTAACGTGTCCTTGAAACTGTGCGCTAAACTTGTCTTGTGTCGGTGATGATTATCTCGCCTCACAACTCGCCCCGTAAAACCACACCGAGCCTGCTGTGAGTCAGGGTGATGTTTCATTGTGCCTTGTGTTAACTTTTCTGTGATTGCAGAAAGGGCACTGTGGCTTTACCTCTGCTGTTTGTAGCTTTGAAAGCTTCCCAAATGAAAATAAACAAAAGAGATCCAGAATCAGACCACCCTTCCAAAGACCCAGAAATATAAAGTTATCCGATACTTTTTCATTCTTCAGTTTTCTTTGCCTGAAGAAGGAGCGGTATAGACTGTTAGTTAAGAGCTTGCCTAAATAGAGTTTTAAGGGCCTGCCTCTGCTGTGCCACGGAGACCGGTCTCGCAGATGCTGCATGGAGTCCTGCACCCCTTACAGACTCGGCTGTGAATCAGCCCTCGCTTCTTCTCTTTACATTTTAACTTCAGAGATTTTCCTCCTTCCCCCAGTAAATATCTTCTTATCTAGAGATGTTATTTTCTTGAGTTAGGGCTAGTGAGATTCATGTGCTCTGAGTGCCTCAATAAATTTTTTTTAAACACTGCAGCACTTTCGAACAATTTGGGCCTTTCAGTTTAAGT